AAAAATTAGCCAGGTATGGTGGTGGGTGCCTGTAATCTAATTTTGTATTCTAATTACAGCCAAGTAAATAAACAAATATCTTTTGTTGTTTAACTTTTTCTCTTTGCCCACCTTTCTTTAGCAGGTTGACAGTTAACTACTGTTTAACCATGTATAGTAAACGTTTAGCTTGCTCACTAATACTTACATAGGACTTACTATGTGTCAGTTGCTGTTCTAAGAGTACCACACACATAAACTCCCTCTGCACAACAGCCCCACCAGAGAGGGATAAGAAACCAAGGTGCAGAGAGGTTGGGTAATGCCACGAATACCTTAAAACTTGTAAACAGTGAAATCTCTGCTTTTATCTCAGTGTGAGAACATTGAGATTTATGTAACTTCTGAGCATTGAGTCTCAGAGACACCCAGGGGGAGGATGGAAAACACCACTTCTTTCACCTTTTCTGTCATATGGACATCACTCTCTCTCACACACACACACACACACACACACACACACACACCCATCAGTCATCTTTTGTTCCATTACAACACTTTTTACTCAGGCTCCACACTCCTGTCTCTGCCTCTGACTTTGTTCCTTGCCTTCCCATAATCTTCTGGCAGCAGGTGGGAGCCACCTACTCCAAAAGTACTAAAAGATCCTTTTGTGTTTTGCTGCCAAGTGAACAGCTCAAATACTCTGCCTTTGATTGACATTTCTAAAAACTTCTGGCTGAAAATGAAAGTAGATTTCACTTGGCATAATATTCAAACTGCCAGTTGCTTTCAACTAATGAAGAACCTGTTTATGTTGATGGCAGATTTGTTCACAAAAGCATATAGAGACCATTCCAAAACTCTCCAGGATAATTTGTTTTCAGTCCTTCAGTTTCTCATTAAAAACGACAGCACATCAAATACTGCCCCTGCAACTGCCAGCCTTATATCTCGGACTTTTTTGATAACTCTCTGACCCTTTCTCTTACCTGCTCTCCTGGAGCATCTAGCAGAGGTGCTCAAAAAATATGCATCCAATTGAAGGAAGTTGCTCCATTTAAGGTCACAACCGGAGTCTTGCTCAATTTTGTACTACAATTTGGAACTAATGGCTGGCTAGAAATTCAACAATCTATATATCATACACATCTATGTCTAAATCTACCATTCAGTTTTTTTCATGTCTTACTGAGGTCAGAGTGGCATTGAGATTTTTAAGGTCTGGACTTTCACTGTGGCCTCAGAAATAGAGACTCATAAAATGCTATTATTGAGGATAATAATAATACTATTGAGGGCAGCAAGCTCTGATGGACCATGGGCAACAAAATTAAAGAGAAATGGACATTGGCAAAAAGACAAATTTTATCCTAAGCCTTTAGAATTGGAAGGAAACTTAGAGACAAATGTGTTAAAAACTTAAGCTTATTTGACAGATGAGGAAGGTGAGTTCTGAGAGGCTGTGGAATTGTTCAGGATCACTCAGAGAGTTCACAGTAGGGCTCTGAGATTCCAGCCCCTGCCTCCTCTCCAGGGCTTTTCTACACTGCCTCCTCAATGAGCACCAGTGTCTGCACTTTGGAGAGACAGCAGAGGAACTGAGGGGCCGGGGTGCAGTCAAAGCAAGCTGCACAAGTGGAAGGAAATGCAAAGAAAATGATTAGTGCGATGATGCCAAATGTTTTAAAGATCTCAGTCATTACCTCGATAAGATGCTCCTGCCTATTAAATGGCAGGGGTTCAAGAGGGTTTTCTGGAATTTTTATATCTTCATCTCCTGTAAACCACAGACCAGCCTACATAAAAAAATAAAAATGAAAATCATTAAAGTATGTATTATGCAGAGATGTTCCTCTAAAAGCCACAAGAGATTGTGCCAATCTTGTCTCTAGAGCAGATGTCTCCCAGGTAGGCTGCAGAAACCACAGGGGTTTAGGAGAAAATACTAGAACTCCCATCTACGTTTCTTTTTATCTCATTCTTTTGTAGTTTTTATTTCCACATCTTTGATAACGTTCATAATGTATTAGTGCTGTAGCATATGTACATAATTTATAAATAAATGTCCATAGATTAAGAGTGCTAGCCACTTTTAACTGCTGGAACGTGTGATGAAGCTGGGAGGCACTTCCCTGTATCAATCTTGGATTAGTCACATTTTGGAGGAGTCTGTGCCCCCATTAAAAATAGTTCACATTCCTCATGTCCTGTTCATGTCCTGTCTGTTTGTGGAGACTTGCATGGTGCTGGTTACATTGTTGGTTTTAGAAAACTCTTTGTTAAGTAACTGAATGACTGACTCAAGATCTCAGCGACCTCGTTCATGACATCCCTCTGTCTCAGTCTATAACCGACACCAATGAGAACTTCATTTCCGCAATGCAGGCATACTATTTGACTGTCCTAATGTGTTGTTTTCAACAAATCTTACGAAATTTCGACCTAAGGTTATTTTGATGTTTTCACTGAAACAACATTGTGGGGGAGGGACAGTGAGCTGGGAAGTGCTGAAAATCTGTGAAAGGCATGCAGGCTGGTCAAGTGGGCCTTTCCACATGAGGGCTTCAGAGGAGGAGGCCTGACGGCGGAAAGGGAGAGGGCACAGCTCAGAAAACAACTGTTCCCCAAAACACAGGCAGTGTTCAAAGAAGTAGTTCTGAGTTTCTCTTAAACACAGCATCCAACTTTCTCTAAGAAACTCACACCTTTGGTAAAATAGTTTTCTGGTTTTGGCTCAGCACTTTGGTGAAAATTGCCAACACCCTTTGTTCTTATCGTGTTTGTGCAAAAGGACGTTGAAATCGATATCCTAGGTTAGTTGCCACGTGCAATAAATAACTGAATGTCAATACTTTCATGAGTGCACACTATTTAAAATCTTAAGACATCTATGCAAACAGAGTAAGTTTTGCTCTGCTACTTTTGCTTTTGAATAAAACCACCTTAGCAAAAATGTAGCAGAGGTCAAATAACCGAACAACTGTCTTGATCAGCCCTGAAAGAGCCTCATCATAATTTGTGTTTTTTCTTCTGGCTCAACTCTATGAGCCTGGAAATTTCAGAACTCTCTCAAAAAAAAGCAGGCCATGCATTAAGGAAGAAAAGGGAAGCAGGAAGGGATGCTTTGGTGAAATGCATGTGGGATACAGGAACCTGAGAATATTACTCTGTTTCAAAGTTAGCTCCTTCTGAAAGTTCCCTCTTTCATGTTGACCAGCAATGTGAAATGGTGAGCAATATAATGACATTAATAAAGACAAAGTAAGTAGTTCAGGCCCCCTCTCAGTTATGAAATTTTGTTCTTACTCCTTTCTTACTCAAAATTCTCAAAAATCAACACTTTTCTTGTCTTCACTTTCTAAAGACCCATTCATTTCCTCATCCCTCTGCCATGTAGCTTCTGTACTTATTATTCCACCAAAATTTCTGTAACACAGGTTACCAGTTACATCCCACCTGCCATGTCCAATGGCCAAATATTACACTACTGGGTTATCCATCACTTTCCTTGAGTGATCTCATACATTCATAAATTCAATAACCACCTACATGACACTGACTCGTGATCCCTTCTGTACAGGCAGCATTAGATTGGACATTTCTGTCTTCATTTCCCACAGACATTTCAAACTCAACGTCTCAAAAACAATGTCATCATTCATCACCCTCTCACCCCAAAGGAAAAAAAACCTGCTCCTTTCCGTGTGTGTGTGTGTGTGTGTGTGTGTGTGTGTGATCATTGTTCTTTCTGTTTTGGGAGTATTGGGCACTGGGTTTAATAAAAGATTTGCAGATGATTCTAATGTACAGCCAAGGATAAGAACCACTGGTTAGGAACTCAGGAGAAGAACAACGCAGTTTATGTAACTGCTTTCAGAACCCTTTGTTCTCCTGGAAGTTCTGACTTTTTCAGATCCTTTCCCTGGGGATGGAAGCCAGGCTTCTGCCTGGGGCTTTGACACTGCCTTTGCTGCCCCTGGGTGCCTAAACGTGGGCAGCTGAAAAGCAATGCACTGGTCTGAGACCTGGCAATGTAACATCAGTGAGTAATTCACATCTTACGTCACAAGTGTTCTGGTTTTATCAATGCCATAGGTGCTGGTAACAACCTGCATATACTGCTCGAAAGTGATGGTGCCTAACTGCTCCTTATCCACAGCCTTGAACTTCTGAAGGGTCTCAAGGAGCTCCTCCTCCAAGGGAATGGGCCAAGGCATGGAGGTTACTAACAGAAACTTCCGCCAGTCCACGAATTCCGAGTTGACTGTTAATAAGGATGTTAATTCCTGTAACTAGAAGAAAACAGGAAATGTCTTTGGAATATTTACATGATTTCTACTCGCTCGCGTTTTCATAGTTAGAGTTTCTCATGAAAGAAGGAGGACTTTTCACTGGCACACAGAGTCAGTTCTGACTTTTGTTTCTTTTATTCTACCAACCAGGCCACACCAGACAGCACCTAGAAAGTGTTTCATTTTTTGCTCCCTTTACATTTGTGGTTTTTGTTTACCATTATGCCATCAATTTACACACATCACTGCAGTTAACTTTGTACCTTTTTAACAGAAGAGAGATAGAAATTGCAGCTGTGCCTGTGTAAACGCTCTGCAGCCCATGGTGGATTGCCCTTTAACCATTCTGTTTTCTGAACACTCTTAAGGAAAATGTTATGATGAAAAGCGAGAACAACTAGAATTATCTATTATTACTAGTTAGGCTCATTCCATCTGGCAGTTATAGAAAGAAACTCACTGGTTGAGCCTCACGGTCTCTATAATATGTCAGTGACAGATCATCACTTATTCTTCAAATATTGAGCATGTGCATACTGTATGTTTTAACTGGAAGTTCACTCATGTTTTTATTTACTCATGTTTCATTGATTGCCTACGAAATGCCAGACACTATGCAAGTTACTCATTATTTTTAGAACTATTGATTCATTGATCAAATAAGAATGCTCAAAGCTTTAAAACTCAAACAACTTAGAAGCTTACTTCAGGTTGGGTCAGGTGCATCCAGCTACTAGGTAAGTTGTTTGTGCCAAGGTTCAAGGTCACCAAATCGATGAGAATGTCAGTAAATGCTTTATTTCCTATTGTGCCTATAATACAAGAAAAAATATTTTGCTACTTAGATTAGGTGATTTTTTTTTCTTCTTTTGCTAAAATAAATGTAATGAGTATTTGAAAAATCATTTTATTCATATTATATAAAACTGTAAGCTTTAAAGAAAAAGAAGACATTTTGGAAATATGAAAATGATAATTTCCTGATGCTTTCTCATTATTGTTTCTCAACTAAGTCAAAATTCCTTTTTTTGGCTTAGTAATAACTAATTCCAGATTGGGTAAAATTATCAAACTGTATACATTTTAGTTGAGTCTTCTTTGTGTTTCACTCAGAATAGGCTGAATTTGTTTTAAAAATATGATTTTAAGGTTTCCAATATGCAATAGGGCACAAGAGTAAACTATTTTGGCAAATATTAAATAAAAGTGTTCCAAATGCATGCAGATTATCACTGCAAGAAAGGTAATACATTTATCTGCATCTTGCCCTTTGGATCAGACTATATTTGCTTTTGAAGATGTAGAGAGATTTGAATTGTTAAGTTACTGGATTTTGAAAGTGCTAATTTAGTGGTCTGATTGGCTCAGTGTTCCTAAGCATTACATGAAAGACCACTGACCTTTTACATTCTTTGCTCTTAGGCACGAACCTACTTAACTCTATTTAAAAGAGATGTCTGCTTCATTTTTCATTTCAAATTGCACGCACATGCATTAAGAAAAAAATAAGAAAACAAAATAAATGAATCCACTTAAAAAAAAAATGTCTGGCTAACCAACACAAAAGTGGTACCTTCTAAAACAAGGAGAGACGCCTAATGTGTATTCAGGTATCTTTCAGGTCCAGAGTACATCTCTATTCTTTGTTTTAGGAATGAAAAGACTGAAAGATAGACACGCTATCTCAAGGTTTTCTTTCTACAACTAAATTTTTAGCATTTCTAAAAGTTCACATGAACTTTATCATTTCCTCTAACTTCCAGGGAAATGCAATAATTCTTCTAAAATCTCAGTGCTTCAAACCAAACACACAGTTTTGAGATTTGGAAGGTAATTTTCTGGGTAGCAAGATCAAAACATTTCTTCTTTGATATAATTGGCTGTTCAGAAATAAATTCTGTATCCTTTTTCATCAAACTTGAGTATCCAGTTTTATAGACAGGAGAGCATTTTCCCAGACAGCAGAATTTTCAGTGAACTGAGGTTTATAAAATCCTACGTTGGTTTTTAGATAAGTCAGACATAACTCAGTCATGCTCTTCAAGCTACAGCCGTAAACAAAATCTATTGAAACCATGAGGAGGCTCAAAGAATTTTAAAAATCTTGTAAGCTGCAACACATTTCTGCTACCTCTAATGGATATGGTGCAAAACAGTGTTATAGGACAGTACTTTCAGTTTACATAAGAATGGTTTACCTGAGGATTTAGCATGAAATGTGAAAACTGTTTTAATATTTGCCTTTGTTACTTAAATGGCCAAAGCATGCAGTGATATGATTGCAATAACATAATTACATAAATTTACAAATTTTGTTCACAGATGAAAAGAGAAGCTCTCTTTTAATCTGGCTGTGAGTTAATTACCTAATGCAGCTATCACTGAGAATTATCGAGGAAAAATTATGAATCGTATGCCAGGCCTAAGGGAAATCAGGCCATAATCATAGTCTGGTCACCCTTAGTGATAACTCTCAAAAAAATGATCTCAAAATAACACCATTGTGTAGAAGCATACAGCTCCACCGAAAGAGTGTGAAAGAACACATGAATACATATAAGTGAAGTTAGAAAGTTATAGATGAAACAATCTTGAGTTTTTTACTCTGTATGTTTGGAAGAAACCAAATGCCTTTTGTTTGATGTGAAGACAAGTTATTGTTTTACTTTTAAATTTCAGGTTTCTGGACACCATTTATTTTATGTTTTTTACTATGCAAAAAAGTTACATTGCTATGCAACTACAATGTAAACATTTGCCTATTGCTAATCACTTTCATAATGGTTTTCTGAGTTTGATGAACAATCTGAATTAAAGCTTGTGTCACCAGTTGAAGACGGTGTTCCTGTATTCCATAAATGGATAGCTTTCCTAGGGTCAAAATTATTAATGTCTGGAGAATTCAACTGAATGATTAGGACATCTGTCAGATATTCAGCCTTGATTTTTGGATGCATGTGTAACTTGGTCCGTTTCATCTGACTAAAGCCACGTTCTGCTTCAGCTGAACTTGCAGGAAGGGTCAGCACTAAGTCGACTAGTGTCAGGATATTTGGATACTTGTGTAAGTAAATGGAATTCACAAAATCCCAGGTCAACTGTTGAATGTTTTGAAATCTAGGAGGGAGAATAAGAAATGTTAAAGATTGAGACTCTCAAGTTTTACCCAAACATTTATAAACATCAGCCACTCTCCTTGGCTTGCTTTCTTGCTTACCTGCCATAGATCTCTAACTTCAACATGCTCCATTCAGTATCCACTTCACTAAGTTTCACATTGGCAGCTTCTGATACTGGTTCATGGTGTGCAGTCAGGATGGATACCTCTTTTTCTCCAAATTCTATAATCAAGATACCAGAAAGAGTCATATATATAAAAGAAACTCATACAGAGCATCAGAGAATAGGTTCGAAGTCAGTGCATGTGGATTACCTTGATTTATCTTTGTGGGTCACAATTTAAAACTTCCAATCACGGTAGCCCTCACTGCATTTTGGCTGGCGTCTCTGAAACAGCCTTGAAGCCTCTTGATAAGATGTGTTAAAACAGTAGTTCTCACAGCAGAAATGTTTTCTTTCCCTCTGAGGCAGTTTCCATGAAAGTGTGTGACTGAATCCACTATGCGTTCTTTTGGCCCTAGTCTGGGGAGAAAAAAAAAATCACCCAAATAACAACTAACAAATTAAAATTTAAAAATCTGGCAGATAATTTTGCAAGTCAAACTGTCTGGTTTGACAGATCTCTGATCATCCCAACCTCTTACCTTGTTTGATAAATTCAGAGCATTTCCAGAGTTGACACTTAGGTGGCAAATATGTCAGCAATTGAGTTTCTGTTCTTACTGACACAGGACGGAATGCTGAGGACATTAATGACATCCAACAAGAAGTGGGCAAATTTAACAATGTCAGCTTGGAGAAAAGACTCTAGAAGCTCTTTGGATTTCTTTTGACTGGCGTCACTTTTGCTTTCACCTGCCTGAAACACGGGTTGGGAATAACATGGTGGTTATCCTTCCCAAAATTATGATTCCAGGGAGCTCAAGAGAAGTATGTTCTGTGATTTTGAAAAAGTAAAACAATATGGTATTTCAAAATTACTTACTGAGTGGAGTTGCTGAACAATTGCAGGATATCCCTTGAGAAAGTTCTGGAGGGCTGCCTGTAATCCATGAAGACACCTCCTGCCTCCTATTTGAGAAGGCATCACAGGTCAAAGGTGAAGGCCTTTGAAAGCAGTCCTCAGAGCACTCTTATGAAGAGGAGAATTGTGATAAAAGTGATAAATTCTGTGAAGGAGGCCTTTGACATCATTGTACAGAGGAGTGCTCTGGAACACCACTTTGTAAGATAGTTCAAGGTGATGGCAAAGCAATATATAGTCTGTAAACATAGTTGTATTTCTCTTAATAGCAGGGCCACCTCATTGTTCCCTCCCTCTATCCCATGGGTACCATCACTTCCAAAACCAACCAGCTTCTTTGCCCAGTCTTGGCTTGACAGCGTAAGTTGAAGATTTCTCTCGAGAGTTTTCTCAGTGGCATTGTTTATTGCCAGAGGATCATTTCTTTCTACTGACTGTACGCCAACAATTTGACAGTGCACTTTTCCCACATGAGCAAACTGCACATAGACAAGTTCGGCTTCTTTGATTAAACTGTCTATGATTTCATCATTGATGACAGAGAAAAATTTTCTTTTTTCTAGCTTCTCTCTTAAATTTTTTTGTTCAGCTTCAGCGATAAAGTGTGTAAACATTCTTGCTGATATTTTAGTTCTGAATACTGGGCCAATATCAACACCTTTCATGTCAACCAACTTGCACATCCAAATAAAACCTTTGAGGGGACGCCTGGTCTTGGCAATAGCATGGCATGATCTGAACAATTTCTCTACTCTCCCGAGGGTTCCTTTGCTCATGGTCTTCATCATTAGTTTGGTGGTTGCTCTGTTCACTGAAGAACTACTCGTTGCTTCCATTAATGAAGCCTTGGCATGAGCCTCACTGAGATGATGTGCACTGAGAAACTCAGCCCTCAAGTTGTCAGTACCATAAAAAAAATTTGCTTGACTTCCCCCTGACTTGACTCGATGCTTATGACACAGGGTGCAGAACATAAGATTTAATAACTCATCATATATAAGCCAAGGGTATTTTTTAAGCCAAATTTTCAAAAATTGATTGTTTCTCTTTGGAAGGTAATGGTAAAGCTTCTGTGGCCTTTTCTGCTTTTCGGTGACTCTACTCACATCATCCAAGGGATTCCTGCCTTTAAAATAACTCCATGTTGTTATTTTAAGTAATCACAATTTCTACCCTCAGTTTTGCTTAATCTCTGACCCTCACCATTTGCTCACTGTTTTTGGAAAAATTTTATTGAGTGCGTATTACTTAGCGGACATTCTGGTGAGTGCTTTAACTGGTTTATATTACTGAATCCTCACAATCCATTACCCCTATTATATAAGTTTGGAAAATGCACTGACTGTTATTACCATTTTATGGATAAGAAAACTGGGGCACAGGGAGATTAATTAAACTGCAATGTTGCAGTGCTTGTAAGTAAGTGGTAGAGCTGAGATTCACCAGTAGGCCGACACTCCACAGCCCGCTTGTATACTTCACTCTTACACGTGTCTTGTGTGAGGAAAGGAGTGCTACGCTTTTCTTCACTTTTGAATCCATTGATTCATGCATAAGAGGGACATGGCTTTTAGCTAAAGTTTTCTTCCCTTGGTGATAAAAAAGGAATAATAGAGCATGCATGGTGGTGTGCCTGCAAGATCCGCCTTGGACATCCCTTCATTCCTGCCTAAGTCCTACCTTCCATGGCAATGCCACAGCAAGCTTGTTGACTTACAAAAAGGGTGCAAAGCTTTGAAATCCTTGCCAGGTGGTTTTGTAAAGGAGCTATGCCTCATGCCTCATCTTTTTCTTTCCCCCAAAGGTCTAATTTTTGACACATATTTGATTATATCTCAGACAAGAGGACATAAGTTTATCTGAACAGAAGGATAAAAAACTAAAAACTACACAAAACAAAGTCCTCAAATACCAGTTTCTCCTTGAAGGTAGAGAGCCTACATCACGTGTATATGTCCCTTCTACACTTTCTTTGATGTTACTAATCATTAGATTATATTGTCCTATTTTATTACATAATAAAAATTGAGTATGTGTTTATTAAAATATTTCATGTTAACATACACTCTTTTTGTCAGTGCTTTATGGTTTTAACATTTGACCCCTCTGAATAGAACTAAATAATGTGCTTCATAATGTCTGGCTGACTCCTAAGCACTTGGTAGATGTTTAAGAAAATTAGTCTCCTTTCCTAATTGATTTTCATGATTTCATATCTCAACTTCTTTTAATTGAAAACCTTGACATTAGTTGATCTGCCTCTGCCTTTCACACCTTATTTGAGTCTAACTTCTCCTTTGCTTTTTAATCAGTCTTTGTGTGGCTCTTGTTAAAATAGACCCCTATTTTTGCAAATTCTAAATATTACCATATTTCGCTTAAGATTAGTATCCTTGTAGTTGAAAGCTGCTGCCTTTGTTTTCTTATTCAAGCACTGAGCTACTTGTTAGTCTTCTGTGTTAGGGCTGTTGCACTAGGCCTGGGGTCTGCTATACACATATAAATGCTGATGAATAAATGAATAAAGTGATGAAAATATAAAGTCTCTTTTTGTTAAAGAAAGGGCTTTGGTTGAGCATGGTAGCTCATGGCTGTATTCTCATCACTTAGGGAGGGTGAGGTGGGAGGATCACTAGAGCCCAGGAGTTCAAGATCAGCATAAGCAACACAGTGAAATCTCATTTCTATTTGAAGATGAAGAAGAAGAAAAAGAATAAGAAGACGAAGAAGAAGAAGGAGAAGGAGGAGGAGGAGAAGGAGAGGAGGAGGGGGAGAAGGAGGGGAGGAGGAGGGGGAGGTTGAAGAGGAGGAGGAGGAGAAGGAAGAGAAGTAGGAGAAGAAGAAGAAGGAAAAGGAAGAGGAGGAGAAGGAGGAGGAGAAGGAGGAGGAGGAGGAGGAAAAGAAAGAAGAAAAAAAATTAGCTAGGCAAGGTGGCAAGCACTTGTAGTCTCAGCTACTTGGGAGGCTGAGGTTGTGTGTGTGGGGGGTGTTGTGTTGAGGCTGTAGTGAGCCATGGTTGTGCCACTGTACTCTACCCCGAGCTACAGAGTGAGATCTTGTTATAAAAATTTAAATTTAAATTTTAAAAAATTTAATTTTCAATACTGATTTTGCCAGTTTCAAAACAAAGTTTTAGTTCTATGGACAGATTTTCCAGAAGATGTTATCTTGAATTCTGAGTATATACTTTCATTTGTCTAATGTAAGTTCTCTGGCTTTGGGAGAATACCTGTGTATCTCATTCTAAAGGCATATTTGAAACTCTGTCCATACATGAACAGTTTTAACAGGCTCAAAACCATCTAGATTTACTACTGAATTTCTGTGATCTGAATCTGATCTAGTGGAAAGAGTTCGGCCACTGAATAAAGCAAAGGTAGGTGGAGGCCATACTCCTCTTTGCTGTAATCCCTATATTTTGCCACCTGCTGTGATAATTCTGTTAATAACACCTACTCTTCTATATCATTCCCTTCTCTAAGAAATCTTTCTGTATTTATTGATTTGAGTAAATGTTAGACTAACTTAAAACAATTTTCAGATCAAAAATACTTACCTGCAAATATATAGTATTGTATTTTTATAATTTTCTCAGAGACACTAAGCCTGGAAAAATCCACTGAACTTTCTAGTTACTCCTTTCAGGCAACCAACCACTCAGGTGCTCTTATTCCTGCCTTTGGGTTTTTGAGGCTTTGCAGAGAGACTGACAGTGCCGCCACTCTCTCAGACATAGTCTCTTTCCTGCTCCAATCCATTCTCCACAACACTTGGCTCTAAATGCCTTTGAAAATTCCTCTCCTACATGTTCTTTGCAAGCCACCTGAGACTTCACAACCTAGCCACAAGCTCTCTGTGGTCCCATCTCCTGCCTCTTGTCTGTTCACAGCTTCCTCAATATATCATGCAATCTCAAAAGCTCCACAGTTGCTCCAGTTTCCCCTTGGCCTGGAATACCCCACTTTTGCTTCTCTTCCTGGAAAGTTCAGTTTCAAAAGCCTCTGGGCTAACCCTCATGCTGACTCACATAGGCAGCAATAGCTACTTCTGCCTTTGAACTCCTGTAAAAACCATGCTGCCGAATGATCTGGCTTAATCACTATAGCCCAGAGTTCTGAATGTGTACCCTCTGTCTCTGGGACTAGTCATTAAATCTAAAGATCTTTAAGAGGGGTTCAAAGAAGGGGTCCTTGTCAGTTTTTCAGAGCAATGTTACAGGCCTTGAACAACAAAATGTTGCCTCTTTTGAAGAAAAAGAGAGGGTATAGAATTTGCTGGACCATGTTCTCTTCAGGTAGCTTCTCAGCAGAAGGAAAAATAGCTATGAACCAAACCTCTGCAGCATTGCATAGAGTACTGATGGGCTTACAAGGAAAAAGAGTTCCTATGGTTTAAGTGGAGACAGAGGAACTCTGCTAGAGTGTTCTAGTTTCAATAGAATCCAAATTGCTTCCATCAGAAAAAGGCTGTCTTCCTGATGTACTTGGCACTCGATGTTTGGAGACAGGATGTGCCCACTCAGAACTTACTAGAGTACACAAAATGAGTGTTTTTGTTTGTGATGTGTGTAGTCCCTAGGAAGCCACATTACTTTATGATTTAATTCTACCAGTTGGTGTACAATTTTTTGGGAAGCACTCTGGGGTAATATTGCAAGTGCCTACTAGGGTACTTGCACCTTTAAGACACCAAGCTAACATTTTGAATAATAGAATACTTTGTATCAATATTGTTTGATATTATATATTATATACCAGTATGACATTACTATAATCAAGTCACAATGGCTTATATGATTACACTTAAATTGCACATTCTATGTGCAATACTCTAAGCACTTTACATATATTAATTACTTTAATCCTCATAAACTTATTTCAATACATGAAATAAATAGCATTGTTATTCTCATTTCACAGATGTGGTAATTTCAGAGGGAAATTTAATAACTTGTCCACCATCATATGACAGTCATGTGACAAGAGGTGAACTTGAGAGAGAACTGTTTGACTCTAGTCATGCCATCATAGACAGAGGTGGATAATAAGTAAATTAACATATGAAAATGTTAGCAAAGGGCCTGACACATAGTGACCATGCCAAATTAGCTATTGTTATAATTTGGAAAATATTCACTAGATCTAACTCTTCCAGGAGTATGTTCATGGGAATGATTCCTAGGATAGTTGATGGAAAGAATGGTTTGCTGATTCACTGGCTTTCTTTTACTCATACTGTTCTGATGCTTCTAAAGTATGGATCTTTGCTAACTGGCAGGAAAAATGCAAGTGTAATCAACTGTTCCATGGCATTTTGCATGGAATACCATGTATAAGGTCATTTTTTTTTCTAGCATATTTGTAGCAATCATATCAATAAGTGATATTTTATGTGTAATCCTTACCTTTACCAAAAGAGATTTAGAATCATCACAAGTGGCAGAATTTGACCAGAAAAGAAGTGTTGACATGATATATACTGCTTTTCAACTTTATGTTATGTTTAGTAAGGAGTATTTTAATGAAGACTTTTGTTTTCAAAGGAATTAACCAATACTTAGCAGAAAACCCCTTATGCTCTTTTTACTAATGGCATATGATGTGAATTTCTAGAAATACTGAACTTTTTTTAAAAAAAGTTACATTGTAGTAATATTAAAGTCAGTTGACTATGCTATAGGGAAAAGTAATAATTTTCCAGTAAGTAGTATATATTGGAATATAAAATAAATCTGCTTATGAGAGGCAACTTAGTCCTGTGAGAAGGGGCAAGAACTTTGGATTTGAAAGAGTTCTGAATGATATATGACTATAGACAAAAAAAAAAAAATCTGCTAAACACCTGTGTGACTTAGTATCTAGACCTATAAAGTAGAGATGGTAATCCTATGTGTCTGTCTGAATTGCTTGTGCTATCAATTGACAGAACCCATTGAAGAATATCTAGAAGTAGGAAAATCCTGAATAAAAAAAGTCTGTGCAGATGCGTTGGGTCCATGCTGATAAAATGTGAAGGAGCTAAAATTGTTGTGTGCAGAAAACATTTATACTTACATGTGAACAAACTGACCAATTAAGCGAACATTTTCTAACAGCTTATTTGATTCTGCTTATGGTCTACAAGCACTGAGGGAAAAGACCAATATAAAAGGGAAATCTTCGACTCCCTGGTCTCCCCTCACAGATTATTGAGGGAAACAGAAACACAAACTCAATCTCAATACCAAATCTAAATTAGAAGGATGCACAAAGTCTTTCTGTAAGCTGCTGGGTGGAGTAATACTCAAATATATAAACTTGTCAGCAAGGGGCAGGGAGGGCAGGAGAGGGGAATTACCAGGAATAAGGATCATCACACTGTTCAAACATTATTCACAGTGGGTCCTGCTTGTTTAATTTGGGTCTATGTTGTACGAAACAATATTTGATAAACTAGAACAAAGCAAGGGATTGTTTTAGGGCCACATGATCCCATAAAGCTGATTTTACTTGTTGGTAAGTGATTGCTGTCCTGGTTAATCTTTACCTGTTTTGTGCTCTCTTCATGATCATTCTTTTTCCTACCTTTAGGTGCCATATCTAAGAACTGATCTCGAAGACTGTCAAGCTGTTCAATGGTCAGGTTGCCGTCTTCTTCCTTTTCTACAGGTAGAGGACGTATTGGTGGGGGAGGATCTGGGAAAACTTTTATATTGCCATTAATGAAGAACTCTTCTTGGCTTAAATAAAGTTCATTCTGAATTTTTGTAGATGTTTCAATGTGATAGCGAGCTACATCAGTTAATTTTTCTATACTGAAAATGATAAAACAGATAGAGTTAACCCCATGAAAGATACTATTAGATTAGTAAAGTTTGCTTATAAGACATACACACTAAAGCAAACACATTATGCAGCTGTTAGACAACTCCATCTGCATGCTTATAAATCTCAATTTGTCCCCAAATCTATTTTATAAAAAAACAAGGTATAAATAAATGCAGATTAAATAGAAAATGCATGCTTATTAAACAGCTAATAGTTACACATTTTATACAAAGCTGAACTTAAAGAGAATCTATTAAATGTAGTTTTTATTAGTATTAGAATATATTTTACTATGTAAGCAAGATTATGTCAAGGGTTATATTTCACTCTAAGTATGAACCAGAATAAGGTTGTATGGCACAATATTCGGTAAAATGTGACTATTAGAATAATACATTTATTTGGAATCAGGCTAAATTATAAAGTGAATCAAATTTGAGAATGTATTTCTAGAAGAGTGGCTTTCTCTATTTCTGTCAAGAAATTTGATGTTATCTAAAATACAGTTGTCAGAATATCCTGTTGCATATAATCCATTGAAATTGCTTTGCTATCTTCATGAAGAATAACAATTCCTAGCTAGATCATATGGTTAAAGCAGCAACAGTTAGGAACCACTATGATGCGGTAGAAAGAGTACTGGAATCTGAGTTCCCATCATAGGACACTCTCTAGGCACAGATCCTGGGGCAAGTAACCGAAGCTCTCTGTATGTCCTTGTCTTTGCAATGTAGTCAACAACACATCACTCCCTATCTTATGGTTATTAATGTGAGCTTGCATAAGGCAATGATTTAAAATGTACTGGGGATATAGTTAATGATCTTTTAAAAGCATTTTAAAGGTGAGGGAAGTTTTATACATGAATAAGTGCATTATCGCTGTAATGTAGAAAGGATCTTGTTTATATACCACAATGAAAGTGAGCATCATAGAAAAATACATATTTGATCTGATTTTATATAATTCATAAGTACCAAATATACCATATACTGAAAATATAACTGAAAGTTCAAAAAATAGTATTAGTTGCTGTCTTTCAAAAGATACTCTAGAATTCAACTACAGAATGTTGTCTTCGTGAGTGTTCACGTAGTATGAGTTAGCCAATTAGTTTATGCTTTATGGTAGTTGCATGCTCGGGGACAGAGGAGAAGGGCATTGGATAGCTGCTGAGTTTGCGTGAGTGAGGAGGGACTCCAGATGTGGATTGAGACCCAACCATAACCCAGCACAATGCTCTGTAAAACATGACTATTAGAATAATACCTTTATATGGAATCAGGATACCAAAACAGGTGCGCGCCACCTAGTGGAACGTTACCAAGAGTAATCTTAAGAATGGAAGGCAAAAAGTGTCAGGAAAATAAAAATAGGATTTGAAGGTCAAAGGGATCTGAGAGCTGTTTGTGTATTTATTTATTTGTTTGTTTGTTTGTTTGGATCACATTTCTAGGTTTTAACTTATTGTGGTCACAGTTCATAACAGCATTTGCAGATTCAGAGAGCGAAGACATATACAATACAAATCTGAGAAATATGAGTACATGTGCTAAAACTAATATGCATTTACATTGGATGGCCACATGGATGGTAGCCACGAATCCCCAAAATGAAGAAGGTATGCTTTCATTTGAAAATGGCAGGCAGAGAACAGAACTGAATATTATTGCTGTATGATGCTGATGAGTAATTGACTTGGTTATCCAGTAGTAAAATTATCTTAAGTATTACTGCAGTAAGCTTAGTTACTTATGCTTGTGTTTGTATTTTTAATTCTGTTTAATGTTTGTTTGTTTGTTTGTTTTACTATGGAGCAATAGTTCTAAATAAGTAGACTGAAGGCTTTACAGAAGAACTTCCTTATGAGACAAGGACCAGAAAAAACAAACCATAACAACTGTTTTTTACATGACAAATGTTGCTTCTAAGAATGCTTGCCTTTTGAACACTGTTTGTGTATCAACTTCTAAGTTTTCGGTAAATGTATATTGTAAATGGTAGCACATCCTGGAATCTATGTCTAATATACACTTCTGAAATAGCCTGGCTGGAGTGTTTCCTTGTATAGATGAAGCCAGTGGGGCCCAGAGCTATCAAGCATGTTACTAATTTGTGGACAAGATGGGGCTCCTGGTCTGTGGACAATCATGACTCACTCCACTGAGGTGCCTCTTTGTACCTTTTAGGGAAGAACTAACAGGATGAGGCTCATTGCCCCTCAGTGGCAATGAAAATCTGGGAGGTCTTTGGAACTCAACAGAAAAGTAGAACTTGGGGTTAGTCTTATAAGAAAATCAGCCTAGCTGGTAAAACATTCCAGTGAATAACTTTTTAATCTCCTCTTAATTGGCTCTGACTAATAATAAATCTACCATTAGAAAAGGATGAAACATTATTTTAGTTCTGAAAACTATTTTTAAATGACATATAATCTTACCTTGTAAAATAAGATTCTCATTGATCAATATGACAGCTAAACTTCTAAGTATTGTGTAAAGTTGAATATGGCAATAGAACCCTTTGATGTATGATTTACTGTTAGAAAAGAGTTAATACAAACATGACAGTAAATCTCATGTTATGTGTTTATACATATGATTTCTTACAAGGTCAAAATTTATATTTATAACTGCAATTTAAATTTGTAAAAACCTTAAAAATCTTCATCAATTTTGATACTTAGAATTAACAAAGCATATTTTCAAAAAGCCATATAGTATTTTACCTGGCCATTTCATTCAAATACCTCTCACCAAGCCATTTTTCCATGAGTTTATATACATCAACCACCTTTGTAACTAACTCTTCAAGAAAAGCCAATGCTTTTGTCTTTATCAGTTCAAGTCGAAATTGCGTGGCTGTTTCTATTTGCAAAGAAAAATAAGAATGTTTTCACATATTGCAGTCCAAGCATTTATTAATGAACAGATTCACTTTGAAACCACTCATGCTTCAATTTGTGAAGTCTTAGGTATACATTTAATATACCAGTATAGATAAGGTAATCTCCATCTCACTGAGAAGCAAAATGTAATATGTCGTAGAGTCATTTGAGAAGTTATCTGAACCAAAACTATAATTGAGCTTTTTATCCATTGCACTTCATAGCAATGGATAAAGTAAATGTACATTTCATTTGGTAAATAAAATGTGAAAACACATGTTGATAATTTCTGAATTTTGAAAAGGGACTGTGGGGACAAAGTCTTTTGCTTGTCTCCCTACTTTAGAACCTGGGGGTGGCAATGCCATTGTACTTCTCAGCGCCACTAAAAGTAGGGCAAGCCCCATGTACCCCCAGGCCTATTACTGATCCTGACACATAATTGGTTAGTGGATTTTAACTCAAACATTTTTACAGTTTCTCCTCTTGGCTTTTTCCATCATCACTGCCTAGTTTGGAGGCTGATTATCTCTCACCTAAACTGCTACAATAGCCACAATCCTACTTTTTTAAATCTTCTTTCCCCACCTCAAATCCAAATCCACCTCCACATTACCCACAGTAATTTGTCTTACCTGCAGATGTGATCATAATCACTTTTCTGCTCGTAATTTTTCACTAGCTCCCAGTTGCCACCAGAGAAGAATTGAACATTCTTGGCAGGGCCTAGATAACCCTCCATGGTCTGGCCTCCCCATCTCCCAGGCTGCTTCTTCCCAGAACATGCTTCATGTTCCTAAGCTACTTACAAGCCTCTTACCCCCTCTCTGCCATGGCATGTAATACTTCTCTTCATTCTCACTCCAACTTGTCCTCTGGAAAAACTTCTCCATAGTCTTCCAATTCAGCTCAACAATTAGTTCCTGTGGTAAGTCGGGAACTTCCCTCATGTCCCCTTTGCCTCATATGCCTACCACTAATATCATGTTCTTCTTTTTTTTTAGAGACAGGATCTTACTATGTTGCCCAGGCTGGATTCAAACACAATTGATCCTTCACCTCAGTCTCTTCAGTAGCTGTGACTACAGGCCCAGCTGTCAACATGTCAACAGGCAACAGTGATTGCATTTCTCTTCCTTGAGATTGAGTTTTATTTTTTGTTTATGTTTGTACATATAAGTGTGTGTCTCCAGCAACTATCACAGGACTCGGCACATAGTGGAAAGTCAATAAACATTTGTTATACGAATGAATGAATTTTGTCACACTAAGGATCACATAAGGAATGAACTGAAAGATGAAGTATACTGAAAACCATTGAAATCAGATGCAGAACAAGCAATAGAGAAGATGCATCTGTCCTGGGCTCTCCTGATGCCACAGGTCTCCCTGTGTTCAACTGACTTCAGATTTTATTGTTGGAATTATAGAAGTGGGTGGTAGTGAGATGGAGAGGACAGGGAGAGAAAAGGAGAAAAACAAGGGATGGAAAGCATCCTTAGTGGTTAAAGGTATCTCAGCACGCCCCATGCCACATTTTTGTGGTTTTGTCATCTTGTATATTGATCATGGCTGTTATTCCTTAGGATATGTTTGTTCAGTTTCCTGATCTTCTCAGATTTCATTTAGAATTCCATTACAAGACAATTAGGAGAGCCATAAGGAGAATACGTTTTGTGGAGTCATTGCTCCATAGAGAAGAACACCCCTGAACATAATAGATATATGACTGGCTCCTCTAGGGCCTTTGTTCCCAATAAATCACTTTCAGGGACTGTTAGCCTCTAGAAAGAATTTATTTTCCTAATGAGAGACTTAAATTATTCTTATTGTAATATAAAACCACTTACTTCAGGTAGCCACTACCTAAACCTGTAAAATCATACCAACTTTAAACATTATCTTTTGTTCCTGTTTTATGAGATTTTAATGACAGCTGTTGCTTTTTCTAACCCATTCCCAAATTCTTTTTGGTTCTTTTTGAGATCCTGCCATCAGTTAAGACTGATTAGGTGACGCCAAAACGTCTGACTCATGCAACACTCAAATCTAGTCCTCAAGTGGTCAAACAAAAACAGTCAACTGAATATTGTACTTTCAATCTGTTTGCTGTATGTTCTCATAGACATGGTCTGAGGCAATTGATGAGCCAGTTGTGGGCTGTTTGCCCACTGGTCTCCTTTCTACTGAAAAGCATCATTTAAGTTATTTCAATCGCTACCTTCAAATTGCAAGGCAGCAAGGTGTTCTTCTTTTATTTTGAGCTTCAGCTCATTTTTCATTTCGATTTCAGCAATTTCCTCTGTGGTTGCTACCACAGGAGTCGCTTCTGCTGTAGGTGTTGATTTACCTGAAATGGCAATGAAACACGCTGAGTAAATGAACAAAATACAAAGGTATGCACATAGCACTTGGACAGCATGAGCACCATGCAAAATTTGTTAAGCTATAAAGCTCTAGTGATTTGGAACCAATAAAACCTTTGTCTTCTCAGCATGAGTGATGAAATATTGAATTTTTCCTTAACAATTATCTGTATGGTGCCTGGGCTGGACTCATATAAAAACACCCAATTTGTGCAGTATAATTAAAAAAATGAGTTGTGTAGCAAGCACAGAGATGGTTATAGTCTCCAAACATAGTGGAATCCAGAGTTTGGGGACAAGAATGAGCAAATCCCAACATAGTGCCTACCCCATTAGACACCTGCAGAAATTACCACTCCATAAGGGATAACTTCTGTCAGAAAAGTGTGTCCTAGATCTTCACCAATAAAAGACAAGAGAAGCCAGGTGTGATGGCTCACACCTGTAATCCCAGCACTTTGGGAGGCCAAGGTGGGTAGATCATGAGGTCAAGAGATCGAGACCATCCTGGCCAACATGGTGAAAACCCGTCTTTACTAAAAATAGAAAAATTAGGTAGGTGAGGTGGTGCGCACCTGTATTCCCAGCTACTCAGTAGGCTTAGGCAGGAGAATTACTTGAAGCTGGGAGGCAGAATTTGCAGTGAGCCGAGAATGTGCCACTGCACTCCACCTCGCAGACAGAGCAAGACTCCAACTAAAAA